AGACTGAAAAACATCTGTTGTAGACAGCAGCAAATGCACCTAACCCAAGTTCAAGTCAGAATTGTGCCTATGCCTCTTTGTTGTATACATACTCCAGTGGAGCTCGTTACATACTTAAGAAGGACTGCTGCTACTACCGTCATCTTCAGCTCCTCCTAAAACCCTTTCGCAGGCCTCGAGGAAGGGCACAGCCACAGCTACGGCAGATCTGGGCCGAGATGCCCAGACACGTAGGCAGCTTCTTGTGTCAAAGGAGGTGCAGCACTTTTGATACCCAGCTAATCAGTGTGGATAAATCATAAGCCATGATAGCTCATGGTTCAATCTGCTGGCACTGAATCCCAAGAGGAGGCACGTACGCTACCCAGCAACACGCTTGCATTGCGATCGAAGATGAGCTGGCCTGTCTCAAGATTGCTCCTTCTCCTGCACTAGTTCTGGCCATCATCTGATGAATTCATTAACCACCAGAAATTTGACCAGTCAAAAAAATAAAGTGGAAGGTTTCTGTCAATTCAGCAAGCTGAACTAGCTCTTCACTAAACGATGCCCTGAACTATCCAGGCACGTTGAGATAGGCAAGGTCCTGCATTCTGCAGGCAGCCTTTTGCTAGACTGTTGCTGCATTTGCATGTTTTCCTTCTGCCTGGACAGCAAATCCCATCTTAAGGTAGCTACAGGTCATTAGGGCACACGCTGCGCCATGCCCATCTGCAACAAAGATTAAACAAAGGTTGTGAGAATGCATTGCAAGATTGTGAAGCATTTGAATACGGTATTGATAAAAACAACAGATAAAAAAGTGTAGTGATATATTGATAAAAAACATTTGCTAATCTATTAAATGTGGCCTATATAGAAATGTTAATCTGCCAGAGGAAAACAGTATGATTTCCTTGATCAAAGGCTTCTTCCTTGTTGTTAAAAAACACAAAACCAAACAAAACAGGGTAAAAATACTCAAGCGCATTACAAGACCTGGAATTTGTTTTGGTCTTTAGCAATTCTTCTAGACTTTTCAGGTTTGACTCAGGAAAGAGTTTCCAAGACTTAGCTATAGCTCCAGTTGTAGATGACCAGGGCTTCACTCTGTGTCTACACTAGTGACTTTTCCTTAGCAGAACCACTGCTACAGTCAAACAAAAACTTTACCACTCCTAACCACAAAGACTGTCTCCAGTTGAAATATACTATGTATTAATGGCTTCATTGACAGAGGTCTGCTTGTGGGTGGCCACAGAAGCATCTTAAAGCAACTTACTTGGGGCCTGATGAAATTGCTGCCTTGCTCTTTATGCATTAATTGAGGCCAGGCCAGAGTCACAGAGGAAAGGAGATGTGTAGCATAAGTAGGTCCCTCCTTCCACCTCTCCGTGTGTGAGCGGAATAGATGGTGCTGAAAATAGGAAATAACCCTGGTCTCCGCCATCACGTGTTCTCTCGGCTAACCTCACTTGAGAGAAAATAGCTGGTCTCAGACTTGAGACCTGAAGAGATCAGGTATAGGGTGCGACTGTGCTGGGGTAAAGGAGATCTGAGGCTCTTCAACTTCAGTCACCCCCACAAACTAACTCGATCTGGATTGTCCACAAACTCTTGACGCAGCCAAGCAGTTATTTTGATGCCAATGGACTGATACGAAAAGATAAGCTACCTCCTGGGATGTCACATTTGCTAGAGGAGGAAAAGTTTAGGGATGGGAAAGTGTAACAAGAATGACTATAACTGACTGTCAAAGTGGATTAAATTATTTTTGAGATGACAAATCAGGTCAAACTGCACAGAGGGAAAAAAAGCAAGAAAGCGATGAAGAAAACAAGAACGAAAAAGAGTATGAAAGAAAGAGTAGAGCTGGGCCAGCAGATATATTTTAAAGTTTAAACATGGAAATGTGAAGTACTGATTCTATGACATGTAAACAGTTAGCATTTATATATTAACTCATCCCAAAGGAAACGTGCTATAACAGGCCTGTTAAGTTTGATGCCTTTTCCAATTGAAGTTACTGAAAGACACCAAATCTTTTCAGAATAAAGAAAAACACCTTTCCTTGACATCTGTTGTTCTCCATTATTTTTGTTACCCTTCCCATACCACCCTACTCGCTCTTTGTCAATAGTCTACAGGATTGCCAAGCATCCATTATCCCAAGCTGTTCACACCTGCAGTGACAGCCCTGAAGAAAACTCAGCAGCTTATGCCTCCAGCAGTTCCAAGAGAAAACCAAACCACACGCTGGGTGAAAGAAGACTCAACTTTTTTATTTTCAGAATTCTCAAAAGAATTCCTACAATTCTTAGTCTAGAAATCAAAACTATTAATCTACTTTCTCAAGGAATAAACTGCTGAAAAGACACCCCAGGTATTTTCGCTCAAGTCTGATTTGAAGTGTCAAGCTAAACAGGTGCCAGAGAACTGGATCAGCAGTCTCATCTACAGTGCCGCAACCTTCTTTTGAAGGCCTGAATTAAATCTCTAGCAATGCAAGTGTCATCACTATAAGAGACAGAAGACCACCGTACCACTTCTCATCTTCACCTTATGCGGGCTGATAAAGTGCTTCTAGGGTACTGCTGAGCCAAAACAATGCCATAATGGTCAGCTACCTCTCCCTGCTCGAGACATCTTTGAGCAAGTTGTTCCACAGCAAACGGCACATGGTGAATACAGAAGACAAAAACATCTTGCCATATATACAGTAACACAGTACCCTGAGAAATAGAGAGCTACATGTCTCGCTGTGCTGAATAGTTTGGGGGTTTTTTTCCTTAACTACTTACAGAATTCACGTTAAACCAGTGAATGTTGCAACTGAATGGAAAACACCTAATGAATGTGATGGGCTGAAGTTTGATGTCCATAAATACACAAAAATTCCAAACCAAAGGCAAGTGTGTACAAAATAATTTATTACAGCATAACATATGTTGGCAATATTTTACAGTGAGTTTTCCATTCAACAAGTTTGAATCTAAACAGATGACACACAAAGGAGAATTTTAATTAGAACAGTTTATTTGTCTTAATAAAATCCCCTCTTCGTGAACTTATATTTGCCTTTAAGGGGCTAGTTAATATTACCGAAATTATTTACACTGCAGTGAAATAAAAACAAACCAAGATTGAATGATTCCATTACAGTTTCCAGAAAACTGATTTTCTGTACAAGCCACAGTATAGTTATGTTTTGATAGCAGTTCTTATAGAATGTAAAGCTGTCATATGCCATTTTGTCCAGCAATACTATGCTTTAAATAGGTATATTAGATTCAGACTTCCATTTTGATGTGTTGTATATTTAACAGTTAATGCACCAGAATACAAAGTAAGAAAAAGGTTCATTATGATTTGTAGTCAGCCTCTTTGTGCTCCCTTAAATACTTTTTAAATGTAAAACATACTCCTCATACTATTTGCTTTGCAGCACCTAAAGCAGTAGTATTTAGGCATGAGAAGTACTGGAGTATTGGCCGGAAGTGGACAACTAAGACTTTTAAGTGGAGGCAATACAGTAAACTTACCAGTGAATTTCTATGGTGTAGAGAAGAACTGTATTCCCCATTACTGTACCTTCTGCATTTGCCCAAAATTGGAGCAGCTTTTTCAACTTAAGTGTCAATAGGTGAATAGATGGGGAGAAACCAGAAGGACGAGGAGGAAGGGGAAGATGGAACAAAGGACAAAAAACAGTATCAAATTTATTATGTTTTCACAGGGAATTGCTTCAGGATACTCAAACTTAAAAATGTTAAACTGACCATAAACTTAAGGAAACAATAGCTGTGGAACACAAGGTAGATAGAATAGTTTTCAAAAAGCCTTAGCTTCTTTACACAAACCTAATCTTCATATCCATCAACACTGGTTCCATGTAAGACACACACCTGACAAAAACATGCAAACCCCCAATGCTTTCATTGTCACTGTGCTTCAAAAGAAACCAAACTGACCAAAGACTAAAAAAAAAAAAAAGCCCAGAAAAAACCCTAAAGAACAGTAAAAGACGAAGAGGGCAATTCAAGCAGCACTTCAGTCTTAATCTGCTAAAAACGCTCAAATGATAATTTATTAACAAGATATGATCACATTTATCTGTATATGTAATGACACTTACGTGAAAGCAGTCTTTAACATCCATATTTTTTGTGAGGGAGGGCTGATGGATTATTAAAAGACTTAAAACTGTACAAGTATAAACATGAAAAATGCTGATTAAGGATAATGTTTACATAAATATTGGCAGTTCTTGTGGGGAGGAAAAAAAAATAACTAATAGCATACTCCATTTCATTTAATTATCCAAATATTTTGTTTTATACCTGTTAAAGATATTAAAATACAACCTGGAAAAGTAACCCTGATCTGTATCCAGCCAGCATGTAATGAGAGTCAGAGTTTTGTATGCATGTGTGCATGTAGGTATACACACACACACGGGCTTGCACACACTACTTCAAATTTCATTAGACAGCAAATCATGGTTAATGGCTGTATGATTCACAGATGCAATGCTGCTATCGTCCTCGTTTGTGGCAGGCATAAAGGCAGACGTAAAAGGAAACAGTTTATGACATGCTGCTTGATATTCTTCACATTGAGTGTGGCAGCTTCCAAAACTGCCATCAAGCAGTGCCTCAAAAACCTTTGTTAATGTCTAAAGAAACAAAAGTAACAGTTAATAAATGTGATTGACAATTGTTTTATTACTAAAAAGATGTACTGTTAAACAATACTAATCTGGATATGATCATTTATCTGTATATGTAATGACACTTACGTGAAAGCAGTCTTTAACATCCATATTTTTTGTGAGGGAGGGCTGATGGATTATTAAAAGACTTAAAACTGTACAAGTATAAACATGAAAAATGCTGATTAAGGATAATGTTTACATAAATATTGGCAGTTCTTGTGGGGAGGAAAAAAAAATAACTAATAGCATACTCCATTTCATTTAATTATCCAAATATTTTGTTTTATACCTGTTAAAGATACATCCATATTTTTTGTGAGGGAGGGCTGATGGATTATTAAAAGACTTAAAACTGTACAAGTATAAACATGAAAAATGCTGATTAAGGATAATGTTTACATAAATATTGGCAGTTCTTGTGGGGAGGAAAAAAAAATAACTAATAGCATACTCCATTTCATTTAATTATCCAAATATTTTGTTTTATACCTGTTAAAGATATTAAAATACAACCTGGAAAAGTAACCCTGATCTGTATCCAGCCAGCATGTAATGAGAGTCAGAGTTTTGTATGCATGTGTGCATGTAGGTATACACACACACACGGGCTTGCACACACTACTTCAAATTTCATTAGACAGCAAATCATGGTTAATGGCTGTATGATTCACAGATGCAATGCTGCTATCGTCCTCGTTTGTGGCAGGCATAAAGGCAGACGTAAAAGGAAACAGTTTATGACATGCTGCTTGATATTCTTCACATTGAGTGTGGCAGCTTCCAAAACTGCCATCAAGCAGTGCCTCAAAAACCTTTGTTAATGTCTAAAGAAACAAAAGTAACAGTTAATAAATGTGATTGACAATTGTTTTATTACTAAAAAGATGTACTGTTAAACAATACTAATCTGAGCAAATACAGGTTCTCTGTTGGTATTCAGGTATCTTATAGTCACTCAGAGGAAAAAATTCAAAACCTTGTTCAAATAATATTAATTTATCATGATATATGAAACATGTACATTATCCTGCAGTTAAGTATACATTATTTAAGATCCCACACATTTTTTGGCTTTAAATACTATCTTTTACCTTCACATTTTTGTCTCTCATGTTTTTATCCAATCTAGTAGCAACAGCGATTGCTTTTTCTTGTCTTGATTTGTCCAGGAAGTACATCATCTTTGCACCTTATCACAAGAAAAAACACAACATTTAGATAATAGCGTTCCTAAATGCAATACCACATATGCAGACACACAATCCAAAAACTTAATGTGAATTAGGACTTGTTACAAGTTTTAATAAACCGTATTTTCCTCCCTTATTTATAACTTAAAACTAATGAAACTAGAGCTATTTTGAAATTTATTAGAAGCATAAGGATTGAGTAACACATGCGATCTGCTTCTGCGAAAGTGAAATGCCTCACTTTACTGAAGGCCTGTCAGTCAAGAAATACACATAAAGAGTGCATTGATGACTAAGCCCTTCAAATCAGCAGGCTAAATGAAATCCATCCTACAAATGTAGAAGTGAGTAAAAGACGTTCTCAGAAACACTCTGAATTCTTTTGAAAAGTACTGGAGGTAAGTGAACAATACAGTTACTAAACAATGGTGGAACACAGTCCAGAAGAAATTCAGACCAGTATATGTCTGTATGGCAGAAAGTAAGGCCAAGCTGGGCTACTGACCTGGAGCTGAGTGAAATAGCTTAGGTACAAGGAAAGCGTAATGTAAGTTTGGTGCTTTTCCTGGACTAGACTACACTGGTGAGAAGTGACATCGCATTAGTGTAACTATGCAGCTTCTTGGACCACATACAGTTTATCAAAACTGGTCTGGGCATCTCTGCAAAATACTGCATTGCTCCTCGTATCATAGCTGCCTTAATTTAAAATCTCACCTTAATGAACATGTAGGCATTTCATATACTTCCCTTTTCCCAAAAACAAAGTCCAGACACACCTCATTACATAATGTACTACAAAGAACAAAAAGCTTAAGAAATCATTTTACTGAAAAAGTTAAAAACCCACATTCTGAGTGTATTGCCTTCTCTTGCTCAACTCATTTCCTCAATTATTAAATTTTAAATTTAAAAAAAAAATCTCCTAATTAAAGAAAGTTTCCTAATTCTTACTGCTTTTTGTATCCAGAACGTTTTAGAAAATAAATTGCTAGACTGAATATATTTGGGTTTGAGTCATCATTGTTAAAACAACTTAACCTACATTTGTTTAAAGTCAGGGAGGCTATGGCACAGAAATTGAAAAGAGATTAAAATTCTGCTTATAATTTTTTTACTAGTAATCATTTTAAGCTAAGAAAACACTCATAGGTACTCTCAGACTTAAGGTTTACGCCTTTCAGACCTTTACATTTTCAAACTTGAATTAAAGATGGCAGTTTAAAAAGTTGTAAGTTGTACAGTAGATAATCGCTTCAAACCTGTTTCAGCATGAACAGAAGACTGGGTACATAGGTAAGACCTAAAGCTACCAAGGACATGGCTATGGTTAGTCCGCTCCTGATTTCACTTTAGAATCCTAATCCCACGTTTGTTCCCACTGCCTGTAAATTGATACACTGTTGGATCACAATGATCCATTGATCGACCCTAAGGAGCTTTTACATATTTAAGCCCCTCATCTCCACTGAATGTGAATAGGCTCACCTTCTTCAAAGGGGTCCCTGACATCTCTCTAACATGGGTGCCAACACTGTCAATGACCTAGCTTGGGTTCGTTCTCAAAGGCACTAAAGATGTAGACAGCGTGAAGCCAGACTCGGAAGTATGACAGTCTTAGCCTGTACAATTACTATGACAAAGTGACTGTACTATTTTCTGTAATAATGGAGGATCAGAAAGTAGAACCTGGAAAACATCCAGTTAGATGCCCAACAACAGCAAGAGTGGAAGAACACACCTGTAAGAATCAGGAGCAATTGCCTGCTGAGATATCTGTACTTGACTTCCCAAATCTTGAGCCTGCCCACAGGAAAGGGGTACAAGTATTTCTCTCAAGATGCTGTCCTGAAACAGGGATCTTTTAATGGCCTCTATAAGTTTGGGGTAAGTTACCTAACCTTCCTTTAAGAGAGACAAACAATCTCTTTAACTCTGAAGTTAAATTTCTCCAGTGATTCTGGACAGACCCTGGGTAACTTTTACAAACTAGGTGAGATTAGTACTGTTCCAAGTACTTTAAGTGCCTGATAAATCTACACTTATCTTTGCTTCCTAACTGCTGGAGAGGTGTTTCGTTTTCTCCTCTACTAGCTTCTCAGGTGACATCAATTTTTATTCCAAAACTTTCTGTAGTCAGTAGACATGACAAATTTCAATTCCAACTTCCTTTGACTTAACTCCAGCAGCTACTCGTAGCTCTTCTACACAAATAGCGTAAGAGTGTCCTATTTCAACATTTTCATTGTTGACCATGAAGCAGAAACGCAAAAGTAGCATAACAAGTTTGTCATGATATTTTTATTGATGCTACTGCTACGTGACAAAGCTATAAGTAGGAACAGAGACATTCCAGCTGATAAGAAAACAGGGAAAAACACTGCTTCTAATATATAAGATTTTTTGGTTTATGTTTTCTAATAATTTCAAAACTAGATGCTGCAACAGAAGGGATGACAGTGCTTCCATACTTTAATATCTGTGGTGGTTTGATCGCACTTTTTGGAAGTAAGAAGCAGGTTCCTTATGTATCTAAAAAAAGTGAATGATTTTTTTTAACATGGTAAAAGCAGGCAGAAAAAAACAATGTAAACATGAATTTGTGGTTCATTGGAATTTATGTATGAATTACGGACTGCAGATAAAGATTCTGGATTTAAATCACTTAATGCTCTTGAAAAGGACATGATTTAAAAAGTTAAACAAACCTGACAGCTGGTGCTGAATGGAGGTAGCATTGTGTTTGAGAAATTCTTCATTAAAACTTTCCAAGTTTTTATTAACAAAGATTTTCTGCTTTTCTTGAGTTAGGACCTTGCTCACAATTTCTGGGAGGTTACTATGGTCAGATACTAGAAGGGGGAAGGTAAGAGGGAAAGAAGCAAAAGCAGCCATTTAAACAACTGAAAAACAATATGAAACCATAAACATCACTGCTAAAATTCCCATTTTTAAAATTTGGGCACAGAAATAAACACAAGTTTCAGTTCAAAATAGGTCAACGCAAGCATTACCAATGTATTTATAGATGAAACATTCACAAAGGGCATTCTTGTCATGTAAACTTTCTGCTGCAAGTTCACAACACATACTTTGCTTCAGTCAGAATCTTTCTCTCATATCTGCCACTTATTTTCTTAAAACTTAAGAATTTCAAGGATCTTTGGAACACCTACTCCTCTGTGAAATCTAGCCAAAATGAGTTATTGGGTCCACCTGGTGGATTAATAGAGGAAGGAGTATAATGTAATACACACAGTACCCCGCATAGCACAACCTGTGTTTTCTTGGGTATTAAAATGGAGAACAAACCATTTATTTTTTTCTTCATATCAGTTTGTGTTTCAAGAGTATTTATACATTACAAAAATATGTAATTATGTCCTTGCACAATATAACTTCCTGTATCTTTATACATGCATACATACTTCCTACACACATACCAGCTTTAGAGAATTTAATCAAGCACTCATGTAGCCATGGATTATTACTGTTGATTGCAAAAGCTCTTTTGACAGACTGTAACATTAACAGAAACTTTCCTGTGGGAAGGAGAAAAAAGAAAAACATACCAAGATTAAGAATACAGAACTTTTTCTCTTGATATCAACTACTGTTTTCTTTAGTAAATCTAATACAAACATTAAAAACATCAATGCCTACACAGAATTAGAAAGGAGATTTACTCTTCCCATCCAAATTGCTTAATAAAATAGAAATGTGTGCTGCTCAAACTCTGGCAACACTGCATACATGATGTTCCCCTATCTGTTTGGCTTTGTTTTCCCCTAGATAACTAAAGATCACACTGCAAATACCTTTCTACAACATTTACTAGCATATACTCAAACTTACTTTGCTCTTAGGTTTTTTGTTTGTTTTAAGGGTGGCTAAACAAAAATGCTATTTCCCCTATTATTACTGGATATGATGCAAACCCCAGCTTCAGTCAAGTAAGTATCTATTCCAGACCATTTCAGGCTACACTCAGATAACAGGCTGCAGCGAAGGGTTAAAATTTTGTTGAGCAAAAATAAAATGATGCAGTATTTACCTTTTTTAAAGTATATTTCAAATGCTAATAAATGTGTTTCTATGTCATCTCCAATAAGATTCTTAAGTGGTATAAGGAACTTAATGGCTTCTTCTAATGGATTTTCTACCTGTTTTAATAAAAACACAGTGAAATTTAAAGCTTAAAATAAACGTCAAATAAAAACCACCAAGGATAGTTTCTGTTATTCAGAACATTTAAATAATCAGAGGCCAAAGGTGAACTGTAGACAGATTTCTGAATTAAACTGAACCACAAGATTGTTATTTGAACAGCAAGATTTAAAGGTGTTTACTCATGATTTCATGTTGACAAAGACAACATCATTGCTAACTGTAGCACTGCTTATGTACTGTACTCAGTGTTGTAATTTAGGAAACAGTTAAATACAACCACCTTAGAAAAAAAACTTAAACTTCTGAAGTTACTGTGATAAAGGAGATAGTTCTTTGTGCTTTGAGAAATACTGGCTCATGTCTTCAAATTCTGTGAACTGCAATCACGTCTGTTAGTTTTTCTCTATTTACTGTACGAAAACCAGAGTTCTTCAGGGCAAGAACCATCTTTTTGTGCAGTATCTATTTTAATGAAGGATGGCCTACTGTTTGAAAAACAAGCAAAATTTAAAGAAAGTAACAATATTATTAACATAGAACTTTGATTTATTAGAGGAAAAATAGTACTTTTCTTTAGTGTAAATAGAGATAGTCTACAAAAAGGTATCTTTGCATGCAAAAATGATTTTATAAAAACCCCTAGATTCTTTTAGGAGAACCTCATAGGAATCCCGTATTATAAGCTTTTTATGATAATCACATGAATTTAACATGAAAGACCATGCTAACCCTTTCCAGTTTTTCAGGAACTAGCTCTTCCCTGGGTCCACTAGTTTCCTCCTCCTCTTCATCTCGCTTCTTCTTTTGATTCTTTTGTTGTCGCTCTCTTTCTGCATGTTTTCTTTCCTCTTCAAGTTTTGCTTTCTTTTGTGCTCTTCTTTGCTTGCTAAGCATTTTCTTCAATTCTTTGGCTGAGAGATTTTCTACAGATTAAGGTAACAAACAGATAACTTACATTAACAGAATATTTAATTAAAAATCTTGCTTCTCTTAAACAACACTCAGACATGCCACTATGCTCCTCCCCCATATCAAAATGGCATACTTTTACCGCGATTTCCATAAATATCAGCACTTGCCAGACTATCATCACTACATAGTCCAACATTACTACTAGATTACTATTTAGAGCATAACACAACACTTGATCTTGCATATTTTCTCTTATGTAGTTAGAGAAACCCCAACTATTTGAAAGGTTAACTACATAAGTTGTTGCATCTATGACAGATTTTAACTTAGAAAACGGACAATGGTTTTCAAGGGTTATACTAAGCTCCCATATTGACTGTAGCTCAGTTTCCTTCTAATGCTAACTAGAAACATCCAGACAGATTTATGCTCCATCTTAAAACAGGCTTATCTTTCATTAAAGTTTCTGAACAATACACAGCCATGATAATTGCATCAATTTTCTGCAAATGCCATGGGATAGCTAAATGGATGCAAGCAAAAACTGACATTGTTTAGGGTGAGGAGAGGTAAAGTATTCTGGTATGTATTAGCAGGACCACTATATGAATCTTCAGGCTGCTTACTGTGTTCAGATTTTTAGACTGGACTAGTATTTACATAAACCAAGAAGGTTTAACAGTTGCATGAAAAGCAATGGTTTCCTACAGGTTCACATAGAAATGAGGAGCCTTCAGCCTTTCCACTCACCCCGCTTTTGCAGAACACACAAGACATGGTTTTCTACAGGTTCACATAGGAATGAGGAGCCTTCAGCCTTTCCACTCACCCCGCTTTTTTTCCTTCCCTGCTGTCCCCACTGAGCTGACCAGTTTAGCCAGAATAATACTGTATATTCCACTGTTTACTGTTGTGTTTCACTGAGAACAGGATTTGTGCTAAGAATAATAGGCTACTGAGGGACTAACACATCTTTTTTGTGGCTATGGCACCATGACGTCTCTGCTGAGGCCAGCCATCATCCTGAGATAGGGAAGCAAGGAGAAGCAAGCATTCTTTTTACCCCATTCGTATAGTGCTGTCTTCCCCTGCGTATGAGCCTACCGAATCCCAATGCACACCAGGCAAATGAACAAACATGACTTCTTAGACTCTTCCCCACCTTAGTTTCTATGACATATTGCTATCAAGATCATCTGTCACACACCAATCTTACATTATATAGAGAAACAAATTAAAATTGGAAAGAAATTGAAGATGCAAGTTGAACTGTACTGTGAAGTGTGCCTCTTTTTATATGTACTTCATTATACGTAGGCAGATACGGAAAAACTTATTCACCTCTGAATGAAAGGTAAGATTGTACTGGCAATATTAAGTGGCTTTTTTTGGTTTGACTTTTTCCCCCCATGTCAAATATTCTTCCCTTTGCAAAGAGCTAGACATTAGTTTCAGCCCTGTATTCAACAGCCAGTGCAGTGCTAACAGTAGCTGCGATTCCACAAAAGGAGAAACAACTATTTATCTTAAAGAAAAAAACCTCGTAACTCATTTGTCACTGAATCCTCAGATTGCCAAACCACACCCCACTGGTTTCCTAAGAAAGTCTGCTTCCCTTTAACACTAGTTTTGAATCATTTCCTAAATGTGTTACTTTTGCTAATACATACTTATCCATGTATTCTTTGGTCCTGAAGTTATGTGAAAAATGATAAAGTGTAATGCAGTGTTAACTGGTATTACTAAGTAGTAAATTAAATATACTGGATCAAAATTAAATTCTTACAATTCAGATCACTTTCCCACAAAATCTATCCATTGTTTCGTAATTCATCTGTTAATGACATCTGTCTTTTCTTTAAATGGACAAATAGCTGAACTGAATTTGGTTTTGCCCTCTTAATATTCTGAAATACCACTCCTCCCCAAGTACTCCAACTATAGCTACATTCATTCATATACTAATTTTACAATACGATGAGCGGAGAAATGTGCTGGTTTTGGCTGTGAGAGAGTTAATTTTTGTCATAATAGCAAGTATGGGGCTATGTTTTGGATTTGTGCTGAAAACAGTGTTGATAATACAGGGATGTTTTTGTTACTGCTGAGCAGTGCTTACACAGAGTCAAGGCCTTTTCCAGCACAAGAAGCTCGGGGGGGGGGCCAGCAGGGA